TGATCCTCCTGCCTCAGCCTCCGGAGTGCTGGGATTACAGGCATGAATCACCAAGCTCGGCTCATGCTCCTCTAAATAGCAGAGCAAGCCCTTCCCGGTACCTAGCTGAGCTGCGTGCAGCCTCTCGACGACTCACACGGGCCTCCACGGAGCTGCTTCGACAGCGCCGCTCTCCACCCTCCCCCATCAGCAACTGCCAGGATTTGGCCTCCACGTCCGCAGTGGGGCTCCCCGGGAACCCCCTCCCCAAGCTTCAGCCTCCCTCTCTCCCAGGTCTGAGGAAACAGGATCAGTCTCCCGCCTGTTGCATCCACGGGAGCAGCCATGTGGGGGCGCCGGGGCCGGCCCTCTTGGTCCACAGAGCGGCCTCTGCCTTCCCCTTAGCGCCCCGCCCCCGCCTTTACATCCAGGCCCTGTGTAACCTTCCCCAGCGCTTGTCTGTCCTTCCCCAGACCAGAGCCCCTGTCCTGCCCGGGTGCCGGCTCCTTCCTGACCTCCCCACTCTTGCAAACCTGCCTTCCTGCCCGGCCTTCCGGGCTCCCCACTGCCTTAAACGGGTCTGGCCCGCCACTGCCCGCGGCTCCCGGCAACACGAACATAGCCTGCAAGACACAGCCAGCCTCGCCACTGGAGGCCGCCCACCCCATTGGAGGCCGCCGGGTCGTCCCCTGTTCTCCACATGCACAGGGATCGCCACCGGGGCACGAGTCACTGGCTTTGTCTTCGTGCCCTCCCTCGGGTCCCTGAAGGAAGAGGCCGTTTCCGGATCTCTTTCACCTCTTTCCACTTCCCCCGGACAAAGTGTCCAGCTCTTCTCATCTTTGCCAGTGGAAGGACTGAAGTGAGGAATCGAACTCCCCATCCCAAGTTTCATTTTCTCATCTGTATAATGAGGGGCCTTTCCCCAAGGAAGTCCAGGGTCAGAAGCCAAGTGAGGAAACTGCTTTCATGTGCTCAAAAAAAACCCAAAAGGTACTGTAATTCCAGTAATCGGGAGGCTGAGGCAGGAGGATCACTGTGAGTTCAAGGCCAGCCTGGGCTACATAAGTGAGTTTAAGGCTCAGGCTGCAGTACATAGTGAGACCCTGTTTCAAATAAGAACAATAACAACACCCCCCCCCACAAAAAAAAAAAAAACCAGGAAAGACGGTAGCCCTAAGTATTATGGTGGGCATTCATAAATTAGAGCTGGGGCATATGAAGTTCAAATCAAGGAGATATCCGTTCTATAAAAATAAGCATCGGCAAATAAGAGAATCTGGAAAGGAAGCTTATCCCTAAGGAGAGAGGCCATCCTGAGTACTGTCGTCCACACGCATGTGCCTAACCTTCTGCTTCTGCCCGCTCCCGAGCCAAGCTGAGATTTGTCAGTGATGCTTTCTATTACTTATTCATCCGTTCATTCTTGTTTTTTTGAGACAGGGTCTCCTAGTTCGTGCTGGCCTTAAACTCACTATGTAGCCTCGAACTCACGGATCCTCCTGCCTCAGCCTCCTGAGTACTGGGATTACAGCTGTGTGCCACCACACCTGGCTTTATACTTGCTTTTAAAAACAGAAATATGAGTAGGTGGGCACTGACAAAGGGTCATTTAGTGAGAGAGATGCCACATGATCATCGGATAACCCAAAGGGTACCTGTGGATACACCCATGATTAACTCTACATGCACAAAAATAACAAGCTACCAACAAAACAGCTGCCAGTTATCATGACCTTGTGCCAGGTATTTCTTAACCATGTGCTGATTCAATTAGCAAAATGCCATTTAAAACAGGGTTTCCTTTCCCTTTAAATGAGGACTCTGAGACCTGGGGCTATAAAGCCCCCTCTCCGTAATCATGCAGCTTGGAACCTACACAGCTGACTTTTGAACCCAGGCCTTGCAAATTGTCTCTGAGATGCCCCAGTCACTGCAAGAATACACACACACACACACACACACACACACACACAGGCATGCACACACTTGCACACACAAGCACTGACCAGTAATGCTGCTCACAGGACACAGGCTCTTCCACAGGGCCTTCGGGGTGACCTCCCGGGTGCTGAATTCCAGGTGCAGACTCCCTCTTGGGTGGACCTGGCTCCTCCTCTTTCTAGGAGAAGGGTGAGCAATCCCAGGGCAGAACTCGCCTCATTCCAGGCTGCGGGCTCTCAATTACATCTCTGTTCCTGCAGTCAGAGAAGGCGGGAGGGAGGGAGAGGGAACATCGAAGCCAAAGATGTGGGAGCTGCCATGTGTGGGCCCTGGCGCCTGCTAGTGAGGTACAGCAGGGGGGCCTCCCCAGGAAACGGGGATTAGGGAGGGCGAGGCTGGTTTTCCTAGACAGGTTAATTTAACAGCAACAACAACACACACGCAGTGATTCACATGAGTGATCTCATTTAACCCGCAGGCTTACCCAGCAAGGAGGGTGCAGTCAATGGAAAGGCTCTACAGAGAAGGGCCCTGAGACTCAGGAAGCGCAGAGACCCCCTAGGCCCACAAGGCTGATGTGGTGAGCACTCTGGGATCCAGGCTGGAGTCTGTCTGAGGTCACAACCCCTTCTCCTCAACCCTCCCAAAAAATGCACAAGGCACAGGGAGCCCCGTTCAATGGATGAGAAAACCCACGCGGGCTGGGGCGCAGCAGGCGGAGCCCTGCGCTCCTGACCCGGACTCCTACCCCACGGGTCCCTGGCCTTGGGCTCTCCCTGAGTCTCTGTCTTCAGCCAAGCTGTAGTCACATTACAGCATCTACAAGGCACTGTTGTTCCTTTGGGTTGTTTGCAAATGGCCTTGCGTGGGCGGTCAGTTTGGGAAGCGGTGGAGGGTTAGGATCATTTACTTACTGACTCATCGCTCTCTGGCTGTCCCGGGGTCAAGTGTAAGAGCCATTATCTGGAAGATAAGTGGTGCCACTCTGTTCCGCACCCCGTGTGGCTTTCCCTCTTGCCTGGCTTACAAGCTCCTCCCTGGATAAGCTTAACCAACACACATTCCCGGCCCCAGCAGACACCGCCCAAATGGCCAAATGCAGCTCAGCGCAGGTAACCCACAAAGGCCCCGATGCTGCCAGAGTTTCCACAGCTAGGATGACCTGGGCGTCCCCTGAGCCCCTCTAATCCGCCTGGCCGTTGTGCTGTACTCTGTACTCACATTCCGCATATTTCAGTAATTTGTTCTCAGATACTGGTTGCAAAGACTTAACCAGATTAATTTTGAGAAATCTTTTTTTTTTTTTTTTTTTTTTTTTT